TGTGTGTGTGTGTGTGTGTGTGTGTGTGTGTGTGTGTGTGTGTGTGTGTGTTTGTGTGTGTGTTTGTGTGTGTAAGTGTGTGTATGTGTGTATTATATTTACATGTATAATAATATAGGCCTATCTAATTTATCATATATTACACGTATATACATATTGTAATATAATGACCTGATGTGAAAGAAAGAATACAAGTACAAGTAACCACACTTATCCATGCAACGTTTCTTACGCCCTTGATCATATACCTGTAGTTTTTTCAAACACCTTTCAAATAGGGTATATTAGAGAACACAGGCAGATCGTACAGCCGTTTAACGGGTTACGTCTTCCCCCAAAAATCGAGGTGTTGAACTTTGTCCCCTTCTCCTATCTCTGTTCAGTAGTACAGCGGGTGGCGAAAGATCGGTCTCCGAGTTCTACGATAAACACTGCACGTACAGAAAGTCTAAAGGTAATGTTTATGGAATGAATTGTGCGGGAAGAATGTTTTATTTAACAATGCAACAGGGAGAGAGGACTTATTTTGCTTGCAAACGTGTTTCGGAATTCATACCCTGAAGATCTCAGGTAGGCTTAATTTAATTCATTGTTTTCAATCTGATACGGGTTTTAATATAATCAGTGTCGTTAATAAAGGTTTCTTTTAACTATTATTCCATGGTGAAGTTACACTTGATCAACCATGGGCTTTGAGAACAAAATATTATCGTAACAAATGTGTTCGTACACTGGCTGTGTTTCATGTTATTGAATTATTATTATTTTCAAACAGTAGGCCTACTTTTCCTAGAGCAGTCATTTTAGTACGTTTGTGTTCGTTTAATTTTAGTAAGCATTTAACGGCGTTTGCAACACAACTTTAGGTCATAATAATTTATATATACGTTTCGAAGATTAGCCTAAATTAAAGTGTTTCGAGAAAGTAACAAATAAAATAAAAGCAGTATGAGAGATAAGGACGACAGATGTTTGGTTGGAAAGAAGAAGCATACCACACCACAGCACCTGCCAACCACCTGCTGAACAAAGCTTCACGAAAGAGATGTGGTAGGTTGGGTGTTCTGGTGTGTTTTTCTCCTAAAATTCTTTGCTATCCTGAAGTCTCCTCTTTCTGTGGAATGTTACTCTCTATTACAAATAATATGATAATAAAACTATAAATGTTAAATAGGACTTATAATAAATTTTTTTTGGGTAAGTGTTACGGCGCTCGCAACGACATAAGGTATATATGAGCGCGCGGGACAACTTAAACGTTTTTCAATTGGTAGGAAATTTTGAATTTTGCTCAGGTGGCGGCTGAAGCATCGATTTTAGACCACCAAGGGATTTTTAATGTGCGCAACTTTTACTCGGGGCCGCGGAGATTTTTCGCCCTTATTCGAGAAGGCTAGGTGTAGATCTTTCCTACCAGAAGGTCAGGGATGTGGCTGACAGACAGCACTAAGAAGGAACTAAGGAGAAGCAGTTACTAGAAAGGCTGCATAAAGAATCAGGGTCCAGGAAGAGGGGGCAAAAGAAGTGAGGGGGGGGGGGGGCAGAAAATGGTGACGAAAGCAGACGACAGAACATTGCTAGAGAGCAGGAAAGGAGATGAAAGGAGAAAATTTTAGAGAATAAAATTTTTCGGTCACTACCAGGATTCGAACCCGGGACCTTTGAATCAGAAGCGAACACCTGGACCTCTAGGCCATGGGACCCCCCCCCCCTTTAAAATGTCTAGCTAAGTGACACAAAACTTCTACTAAAAAGAACGATAAGAAAAATACTTACATCATAAGGATTTTGGCGTATTTATTGTTCATAATTAATTATTATTCCTGACATAATGCATTTAACACCCCCTATAAAAACAATAACAAACAAACGAACAAACAAACTAACTAACAAAAGAAACAACACAGACACAAAAACCAAACATACCGTAAAAAAAACAACCCAACAATTTTACCTTTCTCATCCCTTCCAGACTGTCCCAGAGAGTGCACCATTTCTTTTTCATTCTCCTCGCAATATGCTGTATGTTTATAATATAATAGGCCTATGTTTATATGTTTCAGTGAGTAACACATCGATACATTAATTAATGTATTTTGAAACATTACTACATTTACTTATAAATGTTGTTCTTACCGGGAAAGAAAAGACAGAAAAACAATTTGTTGTTTTTTTTGTTTTTGTTTTTGTTCTTTTTTACTTCGGCTCTCCCCACCTTATGGGATTATAGCATTTAAAATCATCAGATTATTTATACAGTATGTCCTTTACAGTTAACTTTTTTTTGCCTGCAAACAATACATTACCGGCACATAACAACATATAGGGGACTCTCGTGGTCTAGAGGTTATGGTGTTTGTTTCTCATTCAATAGGTCCCGCGGGTTCGAAACATGGCAGCGACGAAAATTTTTCTTCTCTAAAATGTTCTCCTTTCATCTCCTTTTCTCCTCTCTAACCATGTTCTGTCGTCTGCTTTCGTATCAAATTTCTGCCTCCACCCCTCCACCCTTTACCCCATTTTCTGGGCTCCTCTCTGCAGCCTTTCTACTGCTTTTCCTTGGCTCCTACTGCAGTCTTTCAGCCACACACCCTATCTTGTTTGTTTGTTTAGTATAGGGTTTTACGGCGCTCGCAACTGCATAAGGTCATATGAGCGCGCGGGACACACCTAATACTTTTTCGTTGGTAGGAAATTTTGAATTTTGCCCGGGTGGCGGCCGAAGCCTACTCTTATCGATTTTAGACCACCAAGGGATCTTTAACGTGCGCAACTTGCACACGGGCCCTCCGAGATTTTTCGCCCTTGTCCGAGAAGGCTAGGTGTAGATCTTTCCTACCAGAAGATCAGGGGTGTGGCAGAAAGACAGCAGTTAGGAGGAGCCAGGGAGTAGCAGTAGAAAGGCTGCAGAAAGAGTCAGGAGCCCAGAGGAGGGGGCAAAGGGGGTGAGGGGGTGGGGGCAGAAAGTGGAAATGAAAGCAGACAACAGAACATTGTTAGAGATCAGGAAAGGATGTGAAAGGAGACAATTTTAGAGAAGAAAATTTTTTGGTCGCTACCCGGAATCGAACCCGGGACCTTTGAATGAGAGGCCAACACCTTAACCTCTAGGCCACGAGAGCCCCCACACACCCTATCTTAGAGTAGGTAAAATCTCACTACTAGCCTTCTCGGAAAATGGCGAAAAATCTTAATGGTCCTAAAATCGATAAGAATAGGTTTCGGTCGTAATTTGGGCAAAATTCAAAATCAATTCCTACCAAACTGAAACTGTTTAATGTGTCCCGCGCAGTCATATTATGACCTTATGCAGTTGCAAGCGCCGTATGTAAAACACTAATTACAACCCCCCCCCCCTCCTATAATAATAATAATATTAATAATAACAATAATAATAATAATAATAATAATAATAATAATAATAATAATAATAATAATAATAATAATAATAATAAAATAATAATAATAATAATAGGGGTCAACTATTTTACATGAATGTGGCCCACATATTATAGACCTTGCATAGATCGTGTGTGTGTGTGTGTGTGTGTGTGTGTGTGTGTGTGTGTGTGTGTGTGTGTGTGTGTGTGTGTGTGTGTGTGTGTGTGTATTATACACACACACACACACACACGCACACCCCCCACTCATATATATATATATATATATAGAGATATATATCTATATATATATATATATATATATATATATATATATATATATTTATATGTTTTTATATTATATAGGCCTACGTAAAGCCTACCATATTTTAAGATTAACACAAGCTTTTTTTCTTTTTGTTTGTTTGTAAATTTTTTTTTGGGGGGGTGTTTGTTTGTGTGTTTAATTGGCCTATTTAATTGTTTTTTTAAATTATAACGCGCTTATCGTAGGCACATCACATAGCATTGAATCCCCTATCTATCTATCTATCTATCTATATATCTATCTATCTATCTATCTATCTATCTATCTATCTATCTATCTATCTATCTATTATCTATCTATCTATCTAGCTAGCTGCTAGGCCTATCTGTATACATTCTATTTCAATTATCAGTCTCTCGCTATCTATGGATGCTTTAGAATTTAAGTGTGCGTCAATATGTTGTTGATTGCGACTCTTTGTCCGGCTGGCTCTTTCCCCAGGGAATGCATAAAGGTTATAATAAGAGTCGCCATCAATTCAACCCTAACCGAAATTTAGGTCGCCTTTGACCCCACCCCCACCCTCTTTCTATAAAAGGAAAGAACGAAAGAAATATCAGAGACACATGAACTGTATTATAAAAACAAAAACAACAACTTACAACTATAATCACTCATCCCTGCTCAGCCCACACAAAAATTACCCAATTTGATTCGTAGATCGAGATAGATAACGAAGCACAGAGTGAGCTAGTGCGCGCCTCCGCGCGCGTGTGTGTGCGTGTTTGGAGGAGGAGGAGGAGGATGAGGAGGAGGAGGAGGAGGAGGAGGAGGAGGAGGAGGAGAGAGAGAGAGAGAGAGAGAGAGAGAGAGAGAGAGTGCTTACGAAATATATTATTATACCTCACAAAAGAATATCTTTAGGCTTTTTACTACGTTGCGTGTTGTTTTACAAAGTGCAGAGTCAAACAGATTTCATAGAGGTCATGAGCCACAAAAACAGCTGAGTTGGACACCAAAAATAATAGATCTAGCAGATGCCTCACAGAAACTGTGTTTTCACTCGAAATAAAAGTGATACATAATTGATGTATGAAATACATCATGTAGATTAGTTGTTACACATTAATCACTGGCCTAAATTAAATGACGATTATTAGTCTACTTTTTCTACTTTCGAAATTAAAGACGATGAAGATCCACCTTGAAGGTCACGGTCACGAATGTCAAGGTTGCAAAATGCGATGCGGCTTTCTTTCACCAGGGGCTCTGGCAAGACGATGCAAAAGAAGAAAAAAAACAATATCGCACTGGCGTTTGAAAGCTCGTGTTCAATGCATATAATAAACATGATTGTGTTGAGTAACAAGCATGACTCAAACGGTTACACATAACTATTTTTTTCTGTTATATAGATCTAGAATCTAGGCCTTGCTAATCGTTTTACGTAAAACGGTACGTTATAAAACTAACCTCTGCGCTTGCGCCGATCAAAACTTCCTGTTTCTGTTTAGCGAAACATGGCGTCAATGGCAAGTCTCTCCGCTAAAGTTGCTCAGCGAGCAGCTGCCAGCAATCTTGTAAGTAAATAGAAACTGCAAAATTATTATTTTTCTTAGTCATCAAAATGTTGACTGATATTGCAGGGTTTCCTGTGTTCTTTGAAAACTGAACAGGGACTCGTAAACCCAATGCGTAGGTTTGTATCGTCTTTACGTAAGGTCAGTTTGACAAGTTGTTTTGCCTTCTATTGTTCTGCCAGTAGGGCTCTTCTGTGTCCTCTAACCTTTGCAAGGTTTGTGTTTCCAACGTTTGTCTCGGCTCTCTATTGTTTTTCTTCTTCTGATTGATTTTTTCCATGCACTGTGTGACTGTTTTCTGACAATAATGTGACGGCTGATGTTGATCCTGCAAATCTTTTCATCTGTTATTTGGTACATTCCCCCTGCAATGTCCAGTCATGACCTTGTTTTTTTCTTTCTTTTTTATTGAATTTTTTAATAGACCTAATCTAGATCTAGATCTAGACCTCTACTTAAAGCAGACTGCTGGTTAATGGCATCAGCAATCTGTTAGTCCGAATTAATTTTGTTAAATTTTCAGAGTTGTTTCATTACTAATCAAGAATCTGGAGGTGAGTACAGTCGAACCTGCCGCTTAACGGAAACCTGTGTAAAACGGAAACCTGTCTTAACGGAAACTCCCTGCTCCCCCCTTGATATATTCCTCTTTAATTACCTGTATAAAACGGAAACCTGTCCAACGCGGAAACAGAAAGAAAAATTCGCTCCCTTCTGAGGGTTTCACCTGTCTAAGATGGAAAATGCTTTGTCCGCTCAACCCTGATTTGAAACAAAACTCTCAAGTTTGGTTCCGACGGCTCTAAACTTAACGCTATGGCCATGCTGCTGGGCGAGGAAGGGGAGTAGGGGTGCAATTTGGGGGTAGATGTTACCCCATCGTGTGCGCCCTGAGCGATGCAGATTGTCAGTGCAGTGTGGGTGTGATATCTCACGACTGCCCGTGAGAGTGCTCGAGTTGCGAGCCACTACGGAAACTTTCTTGGGTAGCCAGAAACCAGAGGTGTGAAATAAGATTGACCAGTGCCAGCTGAGAAAAAAGTTCCTCGAATCGTTGTTACATGATGGCAGTGAGGGGTGGCATTGGTGGTGGGTGGGGCTAAGGGTGGAAGCAAAGGAAATGTTCAAACGTTCCTGTTTTAATAGGTCAAGCAGTGGTCCTATGAAATGCAAGCACTTCTTGTGTGGTAACTGGAGACTGACGCATGTCATTATCAGAGAGGATAGCAGCTGACAGGTGTGAAGTTTTGACCACTGCTTGCCGATCGGACAAGCAATCCTTGATCCCACCAGCTGAGCTTTTGACCACCCCCCCCCCCCCTCAACTTCCACCTCCCCCTTAATTCCCCTGTCTAAGACGGAATTTTTTTCTGGCTCCCTTGCAATTCCGTCTTACACAGGTTCGACTGTATTCCATTCCCATTCCATTCCCACCCGAGGTGGGAATAATTTTTTGGCCGGCACTATTTAACCGAACGTTCGGGAAAATAAAGCTGGGCACAATTTTTCCGAAGGTTCTGGAAAATAAAGCTAGGCACTATTTCTCCGAACGTTCGGGAAAATAAAGCTGGGCACTATTTCTCCGAACACTGTGAAATCTCTTCCTTTCCCGCAAATTTAGGATATTATATAGATCTATAATTAAGTATAGAGGCCTACCAAAGATTGTTCGTATACAATATGGTTCAATTGGTCAAAAAAATGTCCGCAGTAAATATTTATATAAATAAAAAAATGCTACAATTCCAAATAGTTTTTCGCTACAGATATGACGTGTTGCCTATGAAGGGTGCTGCTCTTAAACGTAATGTGTTGTTTTCACTCGTGTGCTGTCTAGATCTAGATCTAGATCTACGGAGGGTTATTGATAACGACACATTGAACTGGCATCTGCGTTTGTCACTGCTGCGACTAATTTACTGACACTGGGAAGCCCCTTAATGTGTGTGATTCCATAATTTACATGTGTAATATCCTGTACTTTTTTTTTTTTGATTACGCACATTTAGGGTTAAAACAGCCAATCTTCTTCGGACAGGTGGACACACGCCCTTTATTTGTTAGTTAATGTTTGTTGTTGTTTATGGGCTGTTCTAATTTTGATTTCTTTCTGTTGTGAAACCTTTCTTTTTCAAGTTTTTACACTCTCATCTAAAAATCTCTAGACTAGCTCTTGAAAATTGAAATAGGTATCTATAGACCCAAAAATTTGCTCCTGTGTGTGTGTGTGTATGTATGTGCATGTGTGAGTGTGTCTGTGTGTGGTAGTAAGTGGAGAGTGAGGAGTGTGTGTGTGTGTTTGTTTTTCTGGCTTTATTTCAGCCTTTATTCTGTAACAGTTCAAAGTATACAAAAATAGAAACACAGGATCCATTCACCCCAGGGCTCATGAGTCGTTTGTCTCTTTCAGTTTCACTCATTCATTCAATTCCTGTGTTCTCTCCCGCGGCTCATCCCCGTCCGCATGACTTTCATACCCCACCCCCTCCCTCCAGGCACACACAAAGAAAATCTCACCCATTCCCTTGCACCCTGTGAACCATGGACAATAATATAGGCAAAACACTGCCTGAGCTGCATTCCTTTCGTTCGTGAGCTGTGGACCAGGCCAGGGTGGTCGGTGTCGTCGTTGGCGCCGAACTCTCGCAATAAATAGTCAAAAAATCATGAGACCGGAAGCCGGAAACCGTTAGAAGAAATAAAGATCGGCACTTTTTCTCCTAACGTTCGGAGAAATAGTCACTTCGTAATTTTTTTGGTTATAAAATTTTTGCACCCGCCCGGTGTCAGGTAACTTCTCATCTGTCTTCTATCTAGATCTAGATCTAGATCTAGATTCTAGATGTTTTATTGATGTGATACAATGTAACAAGCTGAAGGCCGACCTCTAAACCTGGGGTGAGAATGAGAATTACTCAATTAGACACAAACACTGACAGGTCTAGGCTAAACTTTAGAAAAGTATCTAAATCTAGATGTAGTACACCTCTACAGTTTTATGCTGGAAACATTGAGCATTATATTCAAATGAGAGTGCTAATTCTAAGGGGAAAAATACGTCACTTCTAGCTTTTGAATGCTTTCTGTCATGTCATCAAATCAGTCTCTGCAAAGAAAAAGGCCAAAAATATGAATGAATGAAAGTTTAAAAACTAAATCATGATGCACACAAGAAAACACTCGCCTTAGTAAAAAAATGGAGTAAAATAATTGTAAATCCCTTTAGGGGGGTGGGAAAAAGAGAAAATCTTATTCCCACCCCGGGTGGGATTAATGGCAGCCAATCTAGATATAGGCTAGATAGGCCTAGAATTAGAGTCTAGATGAAGACAGATCTAGTTCTAGATTAGATCTAGATTCTAGATTTTTATGTGATCGAAGTGTCTACGTACACGGTAACCGGGCACAGTAGTTTCAGTATCTATGTACATGGTAGGCTAACCGGGTGCTTAGTTTCGGGGGCCCCTTGTGCTAGGTGCATGGTAAATGTTTCGCCCCCTTCATGACCTTGACTTCTTTCATTTTTTCCCCGCTTTCCTTTTGCATTTATTTGTATCCAGATTCACGTAAAACTTTGAACCCAAATTATGGAAAATACTCGTCTAGTTTCCTCATAGACAAATGTGACCCCAAATAATGCAACACACTCTAGGCAACACCCCCCCCCCCCCCCCCAAAAAAAAAAAAAAAAAAAAAAAAAAAAAAAAACCCAGCCAAAGTTGTGCCTTTATTATTTTTTTTCTTCTTTATCCTCAATTAGTACATATTATCTCAGCAAGCACTTTAAGCCCAAGTGTAAAAAAAATACCCCCACCCCCTCCCCTCGGTCGTCCCACGCTGGTTGAATCCCGAAAAGTACCTCGACCAATGCGACCAGTATGAATGTACTTTGTTGACCTCGACAACCGACGGTCCCTGACATGCATGCTACTCACATGTAGGAGGTCATGTCACGTGATGCGAAAAAGTGTGTTTGAAAGTTTCACTGACAGGTCTTGATGACTGGCCCTAGTAACCAGAACTCAGAAAAAGCTTTCTTTTAAAGCAATAGAAAAACAACGAATAGATTATTTTTAGGCCAATGTCATAATTGTTCAGTAATCAGGCCATCTTTGGAGAATTCTGGGTAACAAAAACGAAAGAGAAGTCAAAGTCATGAAGGGAGCGAAGCATTTACCGTGCACCTAGCTCAAGGGGCCCCCGAAACTAAGCACCCAGTTACCATGTACATAGATACTGACACTACTACGTGCCCGGTTACCGTGTTCGTAGACACTCCGTTATTTGAAAAGAATTCAAATCTTGAATCTAGTGTTGTCGAGTCCGAGTCCAAGTGTCTCGTTTTCTAAAGACTAGACTAGAAATCTGTATCTAGATGTCTAGATCTACTGTGGTTATGATGATGAAATTGAGAAAAAGACCAGTAGCCTAGCCTAGTTTTAGTTGAACACAATGTAAATTTTCGGCTGTAGAACAGAACACACGTGAGGCATCGTGGTGAAATCGGGCGCTTGTAAAAAAAAATTAAATGGAAGAAAACTGCAGGTAATTTTGTCTCTGCTACCAGGCGATCCATTCTTTCTTTAATAAGAGAAAATATAAGTTGACTTCTATCCAAGGTCTTTGGGTTTCTTGTCGTCAAAAGCAAGAGAAATGATTAAGCTAAGATGATGGTGATCACTCCATAAGCCCAAAAAACTGACGAGTGTCTGATTCCATTGTGTCGTGATATGGCCTCTAAAACCGTCACAAATAAATATATATTTTTTTTTTTTAATTTCAAGAAAATCTCAAATCTAATTGCAAAGCATCAAATAGCCTAGGGAAATACAGGGTAGCCTTGCCCCTGAAACCATCCAGATTTTTTTGGGTTCAGGTTAAAAAACAGAAACCTGATCCAATACCGCATGGCACAAAAACATCAAGAAAATGTTTCAAAATGTACTACAATGGTGCTCCCTTAGTAGCAACCCAGGTTATCATTATAAGAGCAACATAACTGCAACCTAAACTTGTGTGACATAATTTTTCAAAGCTCTGTAAAACCCTCTTTACTTAGACATCAACTTTAAACATCAGCCTCCGTTTTGTGCTCTAAATTGTCTGATGAAAATATTTTTTTAAAGACCCAAATGGTGTGATCCATTACCGACACTGGAATCTATAATCTCAGTGTTCAGTGTGTATATGCATTCCTCTTCTTGTTTTTTATTAATTTATATCACCTCAACAAACTGGGGAAAAAAGTGCACTGTGCAGAGAACAGGAGCTTAGTTCACATCTTTTCACAGAGAGTCTCCTTCTTTCAACAATTTGAGGGGTAAAAGTCTTGGCCACTGTGCATAACGTTACTGCCAATGCTGGAACACTCACTGCCTATGTTCTTACTCACTGACATGACGACATCACCACATGCCTGTGACTAAGACCCGTACACGTGTATATGTGTACGGGGTGGTGGTGCTGATGGGGGGTTACTATTTTTCAATGTTTAGAATGAGAGCATTTTTTTCAACTTTGAGTGAGAATGAGAGAAACAGAGAGAGAGAATGCAAATGTTATTCTATCTATAGAGTACACAGGTTTTATTCTGCCTGTAGCCATTCAAGTTTCAGTTTTATTGTGACTGTAAAGTGAGTTTTAATTGTATTTTACATTTTTTAGTACATGCATCACCAGGCTCACTGTGTGACTAATTTTCTAATAGAAATTTTTATACATAATACATTTAAATAAACATATTTTTGTGTTTAACATACACACCTGTCCAGTAGTTTTTCATTGAAAAATCCGATATCCTTATATGCAATGCTCATTGAGCTTTTTTTTTTTTTTTTGAAAATGGAAATGCACAGCATGACATGACTGCTATTTATTATGCTGAGCAACAAACTTCTACTTTTTTTCTGCGCCATGGAGTTTAAACCTTGATTTATAATTAATGGTAAGTCGAGGTAGCTGAAAAACTAAAAATGGCATCAGTTTTGTTCTGTCACTTGAGTATTAGCAATAATAAATGCCAATCTTGTCAAGAAAAAAAAAAGTAGGTGACATCAACGCTTTACCCTCCCCACGCTTTAACTTCAACATTTGGTCATCACCATCGGCCTAACAGCAACCAAGGCGGGCTTTGCAGAGAATTACTGTTAAGCTGACCCCTGTAATTTGCGATGGATAATATGTAAAGTCGAAATTAGTGTAAAATAGATAGAAAATTGACAAGAAAAGTGAATACCGGAGCATGATAGTGGAAAAAGTAAACAAAATATCCTTATATAATACTCCTATTAATGTCAAATTCAGACTTTTATATATATATTCTTTTTAATGTCTGAATTGATTTTCAGCTAGGAAAATATCCTATAATTGAAAATAAAGTAATCTTCTGCTTTTTCACATCCAATAATCGTCTTTCTGCCTTTTCTGTGTACTTTCCTCTTGTTCTATAGATTTGTTCTATGTAAAAGGAGCTCATTCATAACGTTCGTTCACTCTGGCTCAGACAACAGTTCATGGGAGACAAAAAAACATAATGTAATGAACATATTTCAGACCGTTTGCTTGAATTTTGAAACATTTTTTTCCCATTCCCACTTCTTTTTTCCTCCCATTTACTAATGATTTACCTTGACTTTGATGTCCTTTTTGTCAGGCCATGTTCCTGAAACCTGCAAGGTAGCATGTCTATGAATTTTTCCTTGTGTGTACTATCAGCCGTTGTGTTCCGTCAAAAAGAAAATAATGGTATTCTCAGAAGTACACGATGGGAAATACACAATGGATGGCAAAATGACATTTCTAATGCATGCTGAATTTTTATATTACATCGATGTTATCTGACGCAACAAGTTATTTTGACTTCACTTTTTTGTTGAATTGCAGCTAGATTCTTGGTCTCGTGTCAGTTTTAAGGCCTCCGTTTTTATTGTAACTATTTTCTGTTCTTTTATTTCAGTTTAGCAGCATTGGAAAGCCCCTTGCTTCTTCTCGGGATTTCCATTTTCGCGTACATGGAAGAAACACTGATGCCAAATCATCAACTTCAGCTGATGTGAGTATTATATTATAGTGTTAAAAGAACAGTCACAAGTTACAGTAATAGAAACTAGTGATGGAGGAATATTAATTACTTGTAGAAATGTGATTAAAATTTGGAACTCTTCCTTGAAATTTTCAGATGTGAATTAAATAAAGGTCAAAGGCTTTGGTTTGTACCATATTTGAAACAAATTTGTGGTTACCTGAAGAGATACAAAGTTGTTTCATATACAAGTGTTGAGAAAAACGGAGATGGATCTCATCGTAGTAGTTAATTTTTATGACACAAGGCGCTCCTGAGCTTTTTAAACTTTTGCTCCATTCTAAGAGTAGGTTACTAGTTCACATGGTCTATACTTTCTTGTGTTTCTATTATTCTCATCAGTTACATAAGTAGTTTTATCACTACTGGACTGACTCATTGAATTTTACCTGCCTCTGCACACTAGCAACCATGAATTTTATTCTCATTTCGTGACGATGTGTAATCATGTGCGTGTGATAAGCAAGTAGATGTGTGTGTGTACGTGTGTGTGTGTGTGTGTGTGTGTGTGTGTGTGTGTGTGTGAGTGTGTGTGTGTGTGTGTGTGTTTGGCATACATGTGTGTGCACATGTGTGCGCGTTATGTGTTAGTGAGTGTATGCGTGTGTTTGTGTGTGTGTATGTGTATATGTGTGTGTATGTTTGTGTGTATATGAGTGTGTGTGTGTGAGTGTGTGTGTGTGTGTGTCGCGTGCATGAATATTTTTCTTAACATGCATTTATGTAAAGCGCCTAGAGCTGTGTTTACACGGGAGTGGGCGCTATGGAAATGATCTTCATTATTATTATTATTATTAATTAGAGAATGTGTTTATATAGACTGTTTGTTCTGTCTTCCCTGCCAGATCTCAAGAGACTACCCAGTGGTAGACCACCAGTACGATGCCGTGGTGGTGGGTGCCGGTGGCGCTGGGCTCAGGGCGGCCTTTGGTCTGGCTAACGAGGGCTTCAAGACTGCATGTATAACCAAGCTCTTCCCGACCCGATCGCACACTGTTGCTGCACAGGTAAAACTCTTTTGTGATTTGAAGACATTTTTAAAATGAAAAGTAAAGTTACGGATGTTATCTTTGTTAATGTAAAAAGTTTTGTATCCCTTTTGAGATTAGACTTCATAGAAACTTCCTTGGTGGGTGAGCCAATTCATTTTATTATATGTCATTTCCTCCCCCCCCCCCAGCGTTGCAGCTATATATACATAAGCTGCTTATTAAAAAATGCATTGGGCCTGTTTACTATCAGGGCTCTTTTGCAACTGATGGTCTGTTGAAAATAGGGCAAAATAAACTTGTTAAACATAACTGAAGGGTATTGGAAGAACCGATCTCATGACTTTGTCTTTGCTCTCAGATGTTGTTCCAGAAGAATTAATTATGTGTAGTAGATGTAATCACTAAAAGTTAACATACTGATTTAATCTATTAGTGTTGTTTCGATATTTGTTTGGGCGTGTTTTCTTGTTAGTTTTTTTTTGTATTTTGGGAGGGGGGGGGGGGGGTATCCTTGTGTAGCCAGTAGGAGAATAATATAAGTTGTCATTGGGTCAATTAGTATAAATATAGAAAACTTGAGGAGTACGAATTTGTTGTGTTTTACTTTTTGGGCAATTTTTGTTGCTTTTAACGTACAAACAGGCTAGGGTAAATGATTTAAAGTTTAGGTCTTATGTTTGCTTGACCTCCCTGTGTCCAGTATACAGAAGAGCATAGAGTTTAGTGGCATACAGTGTTCTTGGTGGTAATTAAGTTTCTTGGTATGTGTAAGATAGATAAGTACAGTATTTGTGTGTGGAGTTTGTAGTGCAAATGCAGTGTGCTGAGGGAGTGCTCAGGACTTGGAGAAATTATTATGTCAAGCTGAATAAACTGGTCATGAATGATGTAAAGAATGATGTAAAGAAAGAGAAATTCATATTTCTTTTTTTTTTTCAGGGTGGCATCAATGCTGCATTGGGTCACATGGAAGAGGACCATTGGCAGTACCACTTTTACGACACAGTCAAGGGTTCTGATTGGTTGGGAGACCAGGATGCCATCCACTACATGTGCGAGGAGGCACCTAAAGCCGTAATTGAGGTAAGGGTTGCGTTCTGGCCCTGTAAGAGCAGGGGAACATTGATAGTTTGCTGTCCTGCCAGCAGGAGCTGCAACTCCCCTCTAAGCTGGAGTTGTTCCACTGGTGTGTCACTGCCTCGCTGTGTAGGGATGTGTTTTTATTTATGATAGTACTTATGTCTTGTCTGTCCCTGTTCTCAATTTTTGTTAAGGATTATAAGTGCTTTCTGGATGTTTCATGCTGTTTCGGAGTTGTAGTACATTGGAAAATAATACATTGCATAGTTTTATGCCCCTATATGTGTTTATTATTTTTATTTTTACTTAATTCCGGTGTCAATGTCTTTCAGGCATTGTTCAGTTTTATCAGTAAAGTTACAATGTTCCTACCTTATTGAGACTTTGCCTCTGGTAAGATACTCCCAAGTGAACCTGTGATGATTAAAATGAAATTGGTTTCCCTTATGCACTTGCGAGCGCCGTAAAACCTCTACTAAAACTAAACTAAAATTGATTTCATGTAATCCACCTATGAACTTTGTATATACATTAATGTTGCTTAATCCTTTTAGCTGGAGAACTATGGAATGCCCTTCAGTCGGCTGGAGAACGGGAAGATTTACCAGCGTGCCTTCGGAGGCCAGAGTCTGAAATTCGGCAAAGGAGGTCAGGCCCACAGATGCTGTGCTGTGGCTGACCGCACAGGTCACAGTCTGCTGCACACTTTGTACGGACGGGTGAGCGCTGATGTTACATTCTTTATCATTGACTTTGGGTGCGCATGTAGGATGATGTTATTATTGATGTGGGAAGGGTTTTTACAAATTCTGAAACACTTTCTTTTGATACTCTTAAAATTCTTGTGGAGTTAAGAAGAAAGACTGCTATTGCAATTGCAAAATTGGACTGATATATCAGATATCAGAGAGTGTCACACGTCTAGTTTTCGGCCTAGAGGGGCTGTATTTCTTTTTCTTAAAATTTCGCTGCTTGATTCTTGTCTGTCACTGATAATATTCTCTTCAATTTTTGGCATTGTTTTAAAACTGTGTATTATAAATTAATTGGGTTTTTTTCGTTGTAGAGAGACAACCAAGTTGTTAACGCTACATGAAAATGTGTTTTAATGTTAAACAATCAAGTTTGCCATGGTAGGGTGAGTTTATAAATGCTCTTTATGCAATGAGTTCTCAAATGCTCATGGAGTAGAATATTTACAGCTTATAATGAGCTGTTATTCGGGGATTGCCGTAATGTGAAGATGTCTTTTCAAATGCAATGAGATAAGTTCTCAATATGATGCTAATCTAAGTGACACTTCCAACAAAGGTAAAGTATTGAAACGTTGTTTTTTTTTCAATGTCATAAAGTGATGGCCATAACATTATGTAAGACAAATAATAGTTCGTAAGACAAACATGTCTGAGATTGACACTCCTGAATTATAATAAAAGTCTTGTTAGTCAAAAGTTGATTTTTCTAATGTAGGTCGATGCTAAATAGTTAAAAAAATGTCCTTAAATTGGTTATGAACAGTTGTGTCTTGATCATTAAGACTTTTTTTTCACCTCTTCGCTGCTGTTCTCAAATAATTTATGGGCCTGAACCATGTAGTGCTGTGTCTATGGCCCATAGAATTTACGGGACTGACTAGTTGTTTTGATACCAATTATAAGGGAAGTTACTGCTAAAATCGTGAAATTATTATTGGGGTACCTTCCTTATATGTTTACCTCCATTTTTCCCCCATTTGAAAGTGTCAGATTAAGATTTTAGCTCAAAGAGAAGATTAGATCTAGATCTAACACATCTACCACCCTTGATTTACTGGCTGTAAACACAGATGGGCTTACATGTATGTATATGGATTGTACAAGCATTGTATAAAGTAGGAAAAGCCTCTTGTCACTTCTTCTTTTCTTGCAAACACTTACACGAAATGTATTCCCCTTTTTTGGTCTCAGTTTATCATTTCTCAAATGTGTGTTGTTTATGTTGTTTGGTGGTGTTGTTTTTTGGCACCATGTTCGATGTGTGGTTCAATTTAATGTAAAATGTACATGCAGAAATTCATGAGGAAATATTCATAAATAAAAAAAGTTATGGGAAGTAAAGTGGGGTCACTCTTGAGCAGCATTGGTTCATGGGAGTTCCCCCGGAACATGAGGCCTATTTACATGCGGCATTGAAGGGGTTAAGACTCACTTTATTTATTGGAGAGTGATGTGAACATGACTTATAAACCAATAAAAAAATTTTGAAATTTTGTTTTCTCTGTGTTTTCAGTCACTGAAATATGACACCAACTATTTCATCGAATACTTCGCCTTGGACCTGATCATGCAGGACGGTGAGTGTCGTGGAGTGACTGCCCTCTGTCTGGAGGATGGATCCATTCACCGCTTTCACTGCAAGAACACCATCATCGCTACAGGGTATGTGGCAGTTGTTGTCCTGGAAACTTGACTGTCTACAAGAATGCAGTCACTCCTAAGATTTACCAATACTAGAGGGAAAAGGAGAATGGTGGTGATGAAGTACTTTGGATCAGCTGAATAAATGCCTTTTTTTTTGCTACTGCATATATTTGTGGTGTGCTGACAAAATTAGTTTTTCTCTGAATTTAGCCTTATGGAAATTGGTACATCGACTTCGTATGTGGTGTTTGTACAATTTACAAGTATGGAATAATAAAAGGTATGGTAGACTTTAAAAAAATGGTTTCAATTGAAAATCTATAAATCTGACCCTAGTGTCGATTTTGTGTCGATATCTTTATTCTTGGATTTCGAGAAGCAACTCATTTTATCAGCGCACTTCACATAATATGATATGCTAGAGTGACAAGGTTAGCGGTGTGGTCGGGTGAACTTTCTCATCTCCAGAAGACTATTACAGCAGCTGGTTGTGTTCCTGTATGATATGGAGAAAGGAAGAAGAGGGGATGGGTCAGGGTACTGTAAGAGTAGCGTCAAGCCTGCTAGGTATGTCAGTGTTATGGGGCACGGAAGAAGGTGTAAGGGGCTGACGAACACGTGAATGAATGGAAGAGGGCTGACTCAATGAGTGTTTTCAAGAATGCTTGGGGGGGGGGTTGTTGTTAACTAAATGTGGCGCTAGAATATTGATGTTGCTACCAGGCATTTTCTAGAATTATGGCAGTTTGACATCTCTTCATAAGCATAATGAAAATTAAAATGCGTTGCGTTTTGAATCTTAAGTATAATTTTGCATGTATATGGCAGGTGTTGGCAAAACACCTGTGGTGTGTTTTGCTTTTCTATCAGAAAGTTTTGCTTTTTAAGTGGCAGTTAATAAACATTGTTGTGTCTTTGTGCATTTAAAAACAAAACAAAAATGGGTCCCTTTTAGTTGTTTTTTTCTGCTACATTCTAATCTCTGTGTTCAAAGACTTTTCTCCTGATTATGATTGTGAACTTTGCTCATTGTGCTATATTTTCAGTGGCTACGGACGTACCTACTTCTCTTGCACTTCTGCCCACACCTGCACAGGAGACGGAACCGCCATGGTCAACCGTGCCGGGCTAGCCAATGAAGACATGGAATTTGTGCAGTTTCATCCCACAGGTTAGACAATTTTTTTTTAGTGAGGACCAGTTTCTGTTTCATGCCATAATGGGATTGTTTACTTTAAGTGTTAGTGGTTACCTGATATAAGTTGTCTATTTTCTGACAGAAAGATCCATTCTGCTCTGAAGTCACCTAGCAGGCTTCGTGAGTCAGAACTAGCTAGCTCACTGGCATTTCTGTGTGTGCTTTGCTGATGAACTTTGACAATATTGCAAAGTTGTTGACGGTACTTGTGTGATTTAATGATGTTCTGAGTGATTTTGATTCGTAATGAAACTGCTACGGTCTAACTCTTGTTGTGTTTAAGTGAAACATACATAGTGAATGTATGCTTCAGTGTGTTTAAGTGTGTCTGCCTTTTTGTCTGGGTTGGGTTTTTTTTAAGTGATGATTTTAGTAAACTATAACTATGCTTTTTTGCCTTTTGCCTAAAACAGACTGCATTGAAATTGAAAAAACTTGAATGGAATCTGCAGGTATCTACGGCGCCGGCTGTCTGATCACAGAAGGCTCCCGAGGAGAGGGAGGCTACCTGGTGAACTCTGAGGGAGAGCGTTACATGGAGAGATATGCGCCAAATGCTAAGGATCTGGCCTCTCGTGATGTCGTGTCCCGTGCCAGCACCATTGAGATAAGAGAGGGACGGTAAGATGATGGATCGAAAACTATGTCACTACTATCATGTGTTTTTGTAAGAAAAATTGAACGCTGGAGTATTCATGGGAGATAGATTGGCCCACATGTAACAGTAATAACTGGGCAAAGGGCAAACAACGGCTGGATTTTTTTGTTTTTGAAAATTGTTTGTCCCTGGCGTTACATTTACTCAGAAAGTCCCCCGAGCCTACAGGACCTGTGCTCCTGAACTCCCTTTGGTCAAATGCTAGAGTTACTCTGAGACACATGCTTGATGTGCAGAGGTGTGGTTGCGTTTTTGTTCATAGGGACAGCTAGTAAATGTTTAATATATGTTTTGACATTGCTCCCAAAGTATTGTCTTGTTGTTAATCCAGCTAATGCCCTTCTGCCGGTATGTCTTGTTATAAAAGGTTGAACCTGCTCAAACAGCGACCTGTCAAAGAAATGGCATGTACAAATGACCACGACCCTTCCCCTTGCAATTTTTTCAAATTGAAATGATAATTTTTCAAAGTTGTCTTGGACAGGTTTGACTTCTCCTTTTAAGTTTTTCCCTATAGCAATGTAAGGTGATGTTCAGGTTGTACAGGAAGGAGATTTGTGTCCAGTAGTTCGGTGATGGAAAAGTGGGTGCTGAATAGTTTCTTATAACAATCATAAAGCAGGCTCTGTAATGGACGTTCTGGGTCAATTGTGTTCTGGTGATACTCTAGTAGTGTGTAACTGACACTATCCAAGTGGGTAATTGGCAAGTGCTATGGTTTGGTTTGCTCCTTCTTTCCTATCAAACATCGATCGTCCTTTTCTCCCCCTCTTTTAAAAATTTTTTTTTTTTATTTGTTTGTTTTGTTCGTCTTTCTTGTTACAACCCCCTTTAAAAAAAAAAAGAAACACTGCCCCAAGAAATCCACTTGCCAGAGGACTGCTTTCTCCTCAACAATAGGTAGTAGTCTTTGACAGATCCAACTGAAGTTCATCCCTGTCTGTTTATTCCCATTAATATAATAAAATGTTTTGTGTCTTTGTGTTTCCCCCCCTCCCCAGTGGTGTGGGTAAGGACAAGGATCACGTGTTTCTGCAGCTGCATCATCTAGACCCTGAGGTGCTGCACTCAAGACTTCCAGGTCAGCAGTCTAATTAGGTCGATGTGTTTCTTAACTTTTAGGCCCCCATCAACCTGATTGAACGGGTGGTTGGAGGGTATCGGTGATGGTGGCTCCTTTTTTTTTCTTTCCCTCTATTATTTCTGTCTGCTTGTCTGTCTTACTTTTCCCCAGCACTAAATGAGCTTTATAGTATCGATGTACTTCTCTTTACTCAATCAAACAAACAAGCAAAAACTACGCAATTTTGATCATTGGGAGTCTGATTACTTTGACCACACCTGTCTAGACCACAAAAACCAGTTGGGGATATGTTGGCTACATGGCAAGCGAAAGATTGAGATAATTAAAACAATATCCTCCTTGATGGGAATTGAAACTCATATTTTATTCAAGGGATCACATATGTACGTTACACCACAGAGATAGGGTTTTAGTACTCGTATTGTTTTTTTATTTTTTACTCATTCCTTGTTGGTTTTCAAAGTCTTTCTGTTAATTTTTCTTTCCTTTCTTGTGTATTCATATAAAAATGCCATACATCAGTGGTTTAAGTATTTGAATATGGTAAGTTGCTGACCCTGGAGGTGTAAGTAAGGAGTATGGACAATATCTGAGTACTTATCTTATATTTTTTGCTCGCTCTTGGTGATGACATGTGCATCTACTTTCTTTGAGGTTCGTAAACCTGAAATTTCGCTGTTAATGCCTTCATGTGTCTGAGGCGGTACATCCAGCATATAAAACACTGTTTGTCAACATTTTCAAAGGAAATTCACAGAAAGATATTCCGCTCCTTTTAATCTGAAAGAGATGTGGGGCTTCATGACAGTTACAAATTAGGACTCCCTGTCAGAGACGCGCTCAATGGACGATGAATGGTGTGAAGAAATATACCCTCTCGGTATGTTAAGATACCGCGACCCCAGCGCTTTCTTCTCGTATCTCCTTTTTTTAAAACTGTTAAAATGTGACATCCTTTAAGCTTTGTTATGAACTGTTTTCACTGTTATTAAAAATAGAGATATGACAAGAAAGCACAGGGGTCGTGATACATAAGTGTTAAGTTGCCTATTGTTCTGTTTGCCCTCAGGAATCTCTGAGACTGCCATGATCTTCGCCGGAGTGGACGTGACCCGTGAGCCAATCCCTGTACTGCCCACGGTCCATTACAACATGGGTGGTGTGCCCACCAACTACAAGGGACAGGTATGAAGTTACAGCTTTGTTCTGGATTTTGTTAGAAAACCGGGGGGGGGCAGGTTGTGTCTGGCAGAGTTGGGTGAGCATTTTGTTTCTCTTCTTTACAGTATTACTATTACCACAGTTCATCTCTGGATAAATAATTGTGTTTTAGAATGATGTTCTGCAAAAACAAATCTTTTTTGTTTTGTTTATGAGACTGATTTGTAAATGGAATGAAACCCTGCCAAATGCATCTTGCCAGCCGCTTCCACAGTTTTCCAACAGACAGTTGCAGTGTTTTCATTTCTTTACATTCATTCTGACCATATCAGTGGCTGGATGCAAGAGTCCAACAAACACCATTGTGCTATTGGCCGTCAGTTGGAGTCTAGCATTCAGACTTCGATATGGAAATAAAAGGGGGCATGAAGATGCAAACAAAATGTAGCCGTATCTACACCTATTGCCTGAAGACATTTTTTCCAGTTTTTGCTTATGAAACACAGTTTCAATAATAATTTCAGTCTGTATGTTCTGGTGTTGGAAATTAACAAAAAATTTTAAAATTATCTTTTCTGCCATACGCAAGAAATAATGTTTGGAGGTAGGATGGTTTGGTTGTTGTTTAAGTTTATTAACATGTTGTGGAGGGTATTTAAAAAAAAAATTTATCTTCTTCCTTCAGTTAGGGCTTCCATAGAAACAAAATATTATAGAATCCTCTAAATTCTGCAACCTGTGGCTCAAACAGGGAACTTGAGACTGCTGTCTCAATGAGATAATTAAAAAATGTAAGAGCAAAAATGATTTTTTTATTTTACAACTGTAGAAGTTGAGCTAATGTATTTTCTGTTCTGGTGCTGCAGGTCCTGCGCTACTCCAAGGAGACCGGGGATCAGGTGGTGCCGGGCCTGTACGCCGCTGGAGAGGCGGCCTGTGCCAGCGTGCACGGCGCCAACAGGCTGGGGGCCAACTCTCTGCTCGATCTGGTCGTCTTTGGCAGAGCCTGCGCCAACACCATCATCGAGGAGAACAAGCCGGGAGAAACCATCGGACCCATCAAACCGGTGAGTATAAGGGCCCGTCGAGCCTGGCCTGCTTCTTGCTTTGCAATGATGATGATAATAATTATAATAACAACAATAATAATGATAATAATAGTAATAATAATAATGATGATGATAAAATTAATGATGATAATAACAGTAATAATAATTTTTTAAAGTAATGATAACAATAATAGTAATGATAATAATGATAATAATAATTATAATAACAATAATAATTATAATAATAGTAATAATAATAATGATAATAATAACAGTAATAATAATTTTTTTTTTAAAGTAATGATAATAATAGTAATGATAATAATAATAATCAGCATTCAGGCTGTGCATTTCCGTTTTCTAAACCTTACTCATTGTGCATTTGAGTCAAAGTAAAATCACATTTTATAATTACTTGACAGGTGCACACACAAAACTTATTGAATATAGTTCAACATGTTCGGTTGTGCCTCACAAACCCCCGTTCCCATCCCCTGTATATTGTTGTGTCATGTTTACGAGAAGAAAGAACTTATTAATTCTTCCCTTTTTTGCCTGGTCTCTAGAATGCCGGCGAGGAGTCTGTAGCCAACCTGGACAAGCTCCGCTACGCTGACGGAAGTGTGACCACAGCGGAGCTACGTCTACAAATGCAAAAGGTTGGTTCCGAATCTATTGAAATGTCGAGTTCATTTTGTGAAGATTCAACGACTATTTATTATCACTTGAGTAGTTCATATTTCTTTCAGCAAGTGTGTGGAATGGGGGAGGGGAGGATGTCCTCAAATGTGTTATTTTGTCCGCTACTTTTTTTGGACTCTGCTGTAACTGGAACATGTACTTTGTGTAGTTCGCAGCTATCATGTTGATTTGCAGTCACCCACAACTCGTTTTACCAGTGCCTCTAAGATTATAGATCTGTATTTAAGAAGGGCATATTGATAGCGTTTTTTCTTTTTGGTTTGGGGTTTAGGGAAACATACCTTATAGATTGAAAGAAGGAATTTTCTTCCATTAAAAAACTTGCTTTTTTTTGTTTGTTTCATGCAATAGTTATGTATTTGAATGTTGTCTCTAGATATTTTATCTTGAACCGTGATGTGATCTATAGGACATTCTACTGTTGTTTTCCTAGGTGATGCAGACACATGCGGGCGTGTTCCGAGATGGACCCAGCATGAAGGAAGGCTGCAACAAGATGGCCGCCATCTACAAGCAGATGGAGGATCTCAAGGTGACTGGTAGTTGGGATTGTTTGGGGCTTAAAGCTTTCTCTTCGGTCTAAAGCTCAGGTGGATCCTACTTCTCTGCTTCTTTGTCTGCTCTATCTCATTCGGTCTCTCTTTTTTCGTAGCTCTAAATCACTGTTGTTTTACTTTAATGTATTCTCAAATTTGTCGTCCTTGGCGTTTATTTTTTTACTTTATAGGTGAACCTGCGTTCACTGAGTTCACTTACTACTCTGCCACCCAGGCCCACAAAACAAACCTCAGAAGTAAGAAGTTTTAACGTATAGCACATGTTTAGCTTCGAAAAAGCTTGAAATATTATGGAACTCAAAATTTCTTTGCGTCAGATTGCTCAAAACTAGACACTGAACAGATAAAACTTTTGAATTCTAAGGGAGTGTATTGCGGGAAAGAAAACAAGACAAAAAAAACAACCATGTTTGTATCCTCGTGCAGGTGTCGGACAGAGGCCTGATCTGGAACACTGACCTGGTGGAGACACTGGAGCTGCAGAACCTGATGATCAATGCTGTGCAGACCATCGTCAGTGCCGAGGCACGCACAGAGAGCCGAGGGGCTCACAGCAGAGAGGACTTCAAGGTTAGTTTGTTGGCTCAGTCGGGATCATCATCCACATGATTGTTAAAACAAAAAGAGAGTGTGGGAGGAGAGTCTTGGGGAAAGTTTTTGGTCAGTTTTTGTAAATGGTATAAATTTAAGAATTATGGAACTACTGCACCTCAGTGTTTCATGATAAGAGTTCCTCAGTAGAGCCTGAGAAGAAAACTCAAAGGAGCCGTATACAAAGGGAAAGGGATCGCGGAGAAAGTCTTCTAGTTTCCACGTCAGCCTCGAAATTGTGACCACTGAAATGGAAAGAAAGACAGAAGAGACCATTGCGGGATTGTTGAGAATAGATAAACATGCGTCTTATACTGTGGGAGTCGCATTCAACGAGGTTGCCAGGACCGGCTTGTTGTCCTTGTTGGATCCGACCTCTCGTTGAACGTGACTAAGGCTAAAGAAAAGAAGAAAAATAAAGGGGGAGACAAAAAGACAGTAAAAGAAGAGGAGAGTGTGATTTTTCGGTAATTCCCCTTTGCATTCCTATAACGGGAACTTGCCTACATTGGCATTTTTCTTCTGAAACTGGAAGTCCCGCTATAGCCCTGTTCTACGGTACTGCTGTACTAACTCACAAAAGGATGACGCATAGAAAGAGCAACTGAAATCAGAGGAAGATGCTTTCTTCATCCCCCCAGCCCCCGCGCCACACAGTAGGCTAGGCCTAATAACAGGCTCAGTTTCACGCAGCCCGCGTCGCGTTCCCACCCACCCACTCCCATCCCTGCCGTAGGCCAACCCTCGCCCATCCTCTTGGCTTTGGGGCATACTAAATTTTGCAATTCAATGCGTAAGGAATGGAGGATGGACCTTGTGCTTCACGTGAGATGGAGGGAAAGGAGAAACATTCTTCGCTTTCGGGGCTGCTAATTGACTTTATTTGGGTATCGCGACCTCGTTGAAAGCAACTTCGGTCTTTTTGCAACCTCGATGGGGCTAACGTACATTTACAAAGAGATATAGAGGAAAAAATCGGGGATGAAGGATTGCTTCATTGGAGCAGAATTCTCGCTAAATTTGACCTCGTTGAATGCGGCTCCCCCTGTACTGCATTACTCAAACTTCTGATGGCATTTGTGCTTTGATGCACTCCTCTTTTGACACTTAACCAATGATAGTACATAACAAGATGGGCCACTTCTCTCTTTGAGCCAATTAAAAATGTGTCCTCAAAATTTGGTGGCACCCTCTTCACAAAAGCACACTCTTTGCGAACAGAGTTACCCTACTTGAATTTTAAAAAATCAAAGTGAAAGTTTTGGGATAAATTTCGGAAGAACGCTTTTTTAAAATGGTTACGCTGACAAAAAACCTCTTCCGGAGGAAAGGGTGATGGTTTTCTTCGTTTAATTTGACTTTAGAATGAAAGGCGAGAGGTCATTAAAATATTTAAAAAACTAAAACTCCGCACTGAACGTACCCGAACTGCTGATGAACAGCAGTCGATCTGCACACGCAAGGAGGTGCTACCCCTATTCTTTTTCTAGAAAAACGAAAGAGAGCTTCAAAACAGACTGCAACGCCATCTGAAGCAAAGAGCATACTTCCTGCGGACACTTTTTTGGCTGAGTGGCCCATCTTGTTATTCACTGTCTTTGACTTAACTCAGCTAGCTGTAACACCAAGTGCCCTTTGCATCATGACACAAATGTGGGCCTAATTTGAGGGGCTATTTTGTTGAGGAATTTCAGTGTTCCATGGATTAGCTAGAGCTTAAAATTTTTCACTGTTTGGTACATGTAGATTGTTACAATAGTTTCTTGAGTGTGCTTTCATACCAGATTGTATCCTAAGTGTGTATGTGGGTGTGTTAATAGGATTTTGTGTGTGTGTGTGTGTGTTGCAGGACCGTGTGGATGAGTTTGACTACAGCAAGCCAGTACAGGGACAGACCGAGAAGCCCGTTGACCAGCACTGGAGGAAACACACACTCTCCTACGTCGATGAAAAATCTGGCAAGGTACGTAATTACACAGCCAGGTTGCTTCTCTGTAGAAAGACTTGTCGCAACAATTTTTTATTATAGTTAGAGTATAACAACACTTGCAAATGAAGTAGGCCATACAAGTGCCGAAGATTATGAAGGTATTTCTTGAGAGCAATGTCCAGATAAAAGAACGAGAGATACAGCTGATAGATGTTTGATAGGAAAGGAGCAAACTGTACCAGAGCACATAACCAACCTCCGCACTGTAGTTGTATCTTTTTTTCTACTTATTTTTCTTGTTCTTTCTTCATTCATTACTGTAATGGTTTACAAATCATTGAGGTACTCGCTCGGATTGTGCAGGGTTCTTATTATGTGTTGTGACTTGGGGAAGGGGTGGGGGGGGGGGGGGGGGCTGGGGTTGAAAATGCTCATCGTTAATAGAGTTACAGTCTGATGCCATTAACGTCATTTTAAAAAGTTGAAAACCATATCGTTTTAATTGTGATGTTTGAAAAATGATATGATTATGCTTGAATTAGGAAAAAAAAAATTTGAAATGAGGAACCCTTTAGCCCACTTGACCTGTGAAATCAGTGAATACACATCTTTTAGTCAAAAGCTATATGTAAATTTTAGCAAGCTGTGGTGGTAGTTTTCAATCTTATTGTTATCATCACTGAATCAGCCACGACCATTGGCCCCCGTTTCACCTAATTTTGTTCCTTTCTTCAGGTGAACCTCGACTACAGGCCAGTCATTGATAACACTTTGAGCGAACAAGAGTGCCCACAGGTCCCCCCGGCCATCAGAAGCTATTAATCAGGTCAGTGTCGGCTTTCTTTTCTTCTGTTAGTGTAGGACCCGATAGTTAGACCCAAGGTGTCCAATTTTTTAACTGAGAAAATTAAGAAATAAGTTTCCATCTAAAGGTGGAAGTGTATGGAAGCAAAGATTTTTCAATGCTGCTGAAGTTGTTTTTACTAAGTTCTGAGGCAAAGTGATGTAAATAGATGGGTGTGACTTGGAGTCAAGGTTGGGGTAAAGATTTTTTTTTCATTTTTAATAAAAGCAATGAAAAGCGCAAAGTTGAGAGCTCTAAATGATTGCCTTTATACATCTATAGAGTTGACTCAAAAACACTCTTAGACAGTGAACAAAGAGCTCTGTCTTGGTTAGACAGCCTTTATAGCAGAGTGGGCATTAGGAAACTGATCAAAGAGCTATGTGTTTAGATTTTTGAAATATGGTTTTCACTTGATCTGATAATGTGACTTGTCATTTCCCCCCTGATTTTAGTTGTTTTTTTTATCTTGATTCAGTGATTCTTATGTAGTACTACTGGATGTGCATGATTTTTTGATCATTTGAATTGGTAACCTAAGTCCTGTTAAGGAGAAATGTGATGTTGATTTATTTTTTTTCGTGAGAATTGCAACTTGTTTGGGAGAGTGACTTAACAAGGCCTAACAATTTTTTCTCTCTTAATAGTGGTGAAGAGCAATAACAAGGGGGACAATTTTCATGCTTTTGAAAGTATTTGTGTACTGTGTTGTGCATTCAATCTTAACTCTAAAACAGTATAATGCAGGTTGAAAAAGAGGCAGGAGCTCTGAATTTTTCATCCATCTCCTAGTCAAGTAGATGGAGAGTCTTCTATAGAAACTCCTCCCAAAGTCAACTTTGTTGGAGAACGCCCCACAAGGGTGATCCACGCAAAAGCCCAGCATGATATTGATTGAGCTAATGTTGCGCCTGCATTCAATTTTGAGTTTTCTTTAGCCCTTTTCGAAAACACAGGCAAGCCTGCCCTGCTCCTAGAGTGGTTTCATGGTCATATTTTTCATTTCAAAGTGACTCAAATTGATGTGTGTTGTGTTGTATTCTGGTCCAAATGAATGCCCTTCCCTAAAGTAGTCACACTTTCAAATTTCACTTATTGGCTGTGGACATTTGGTAGACACTCCAGTGTCGCCTGCTCTGACTCACTCTCTGTGCTATCCGAATCAGAACCTAGTAAAGTATGACCATTATCAAGCATTCTTAGTTGGAAATTTTTTAAAGTCATTTCCACTTTGTGATGATTTTTTGGGATTTTATTTTCAGATGTGGTTCCTTGTGTGTATGCAGCTGAGACAGGATGAGTTAACTGTTTTATCATTGGGACTGAGATCTCTAATGGCCTCTGCCCACCTTATGTCAAGAAGAACTTGCCTACTCAGCCCTGGCCAAATTATGTTTGCTGTTTCCTTAGTAAAACCACAGTTGTTGTGGCCGTCCAAGCAGCGACTTCGGTATAATAGGTAATGAGAGAAAAGCTGACAGATTCACGAGGAATGGAATAGGACAGAACTCCTGAAGAAAGTTTAAATGTTTTTAGAGAACTCCCAATATCATGCTTATCGAAGAATGTTTTCATAGTTTTTCCCGCAAGATCACAAGTGGGACTGAATAAAAGATAGGCGAGGTTGGAAGACGCACACTGACAGTTTGTGCAAATTAAAATTTAAAAGAAAGGGTAATGATTTCATGAGTATTGGTACTTGCCTAGAAAGCTGGTGAAAATGAATACAAAATAGATTAGCAGATACTAATGGTTTAAAGAGGACTAGTATAGGTGAAAGAAAGGTGTAGTTATCTTCCGAGAACTTGGAAACTGTTTCGTAACGAAGAGCAAAGAGTTGAGTGTGTCACATTTATAGTTTATGTCCAGCTTTGCGAGCTGACATACTCTCACATGTGCCGCTGAGCTTGCTCAGTCGGTGGAGAGTGTTCTCAATTCTCAGAGATTGGACTCTTTTTTGGCTTACCAGACTAGAGGATATTGTTAGTTATGTTATATGACTCGAGCTGTATTCATCTATTGCTGTTGCAGTTGGCTGCATTGTATAAACATCCAGCATAGTTTGCCTAGCACCAATTGCATTGTGATTAGTTAGCCTTCACGAATACTTACTTGCTCTTCAATGTTTTGTTGGTTTGTTTAAAAAAATACCATTTTATTATGTTTTACTTAAATATATATGCGGGTTGAATCTGTGTGCTTTGCTCAAATTTGCCCCTCCTACCCCTCATTCATCTGTCCATTAGAAGGTTTTTGTTTAGCGAAGATACTCAGATGGATCCAAAGTTAGCCTGGGTTTTTTTTTAACCTGTCTTATTTTTTCTTAGCCAAGAGTTTTGCAAGGTATTCATTTCATATAAGAGTAAAGTGACAGTTTGCAGGGTACGTAGGTACGTTAGTACGTAGTTTATTTACCTGTATTGAAGCCAAAGTGAAGCACTTGGTGCAAAGCCACAGTGCATGCCAGGTCTGCTCTAAAGTAGTTTTTGGAAATGAATCTTGTCATTTTTTTATTGAATTTTTTTTTTCGCGTTTGTGTGTTCTGTTTTGTCCTCTCAGTATGGATGAGTGGTGCGTAAATTATCACGGTGGAAAATGTAAAATTTGTCTTTCGATTGTTTGTTTTGTTCCAACGGTGTCACACGGCACACTGTTGGACTCGGCATGGGGTATAAGTATAAGGAACGTTCTGAATTGACGTGTTGCTATATTTATCTGTCACACGTTGGTTGTTTTTTTGGTGTTTTTTTTCGTATTAAGGTGCATGTACGTAGATCAGGATGACCACAGAGACATCCTTGTACATACTTTTTATCAAATAAACGTGAAGTTTTCTGTGATAAACTGGTTGTTCTTGTGGCTTGACGACGTACTTGTTGGATGTTTGTTATAATTCTTTTTATCTGGTCCTGTAGTTTGAGTTATAATAGAAAGAGAAGCGCACATCACTGTAGCAAGATCAGTCATTGCAGGATAGCATCACAGTTGTCTTAACTTGAGTTTTTCAAATTTTACAGAAGAGAAGAGGTGAAAACTTTTTTTTTTTACCTCTATAATAAATATTCATCAACAGTGCATGGAATTCCATTTGATGAGTATTTTTTTAAAATTAGTTCATGACACCGAGATTTTTTACTGAGCATGTGCACCTTCCCATGGCAGTAGAATGTCAAGAAGTGATTTTCGCCCAAACTTGGAGTTGCAATACTTGAACTGCTACCCTGCAATTTGGTGCTGTGGAAAGGCCAGACGAAAGGACTGGAAGTGGAAGAGAAGAGAAAAAGAAAAAAATATCGGAGGCAACCTCCAACCACCTATTCGCTTGTTCTCAGTGATTGTGTTTGTAAGTGTGTGCGCACGTGTTTGTGTTTGTGAGTGTGTGCGCACGCTCCTATCACCAGCACTGATAAGAGATCTTCTAATTTGGGTGGGTGGCGGGTGCTCTGGTCTGGTTTGCTCCTTCTTTCCTATCAAATATCTATCATACTTGCCTCTCTTCCTCCTTTTTTGTTTGTAGTTCTCTTGTAAAACTTAAATCTTCGGCACTTAAATGATATCTCGGGGCAGTGCCACTGACTGCAGTGTCTTAAGGCCATTCCCAAAAAATTTCTCGGTCGAGCACAGTAGAATTGTAAATGTGCTGATTCATGTCACGCTCATAACTGCCTGATCTACAACAGGGAACTGTTGCTTTTTCTTTCCTGATCTTTACTATTGTCATTTTCCTCTACTTCTTTTGTATGTTTGTTACTCTCTTGTGACCTGCTATTGCTATTTTTGGGGTGCCTTGATAGTCGAAGCAGACCTTGTGCTGTTGAAGCTAGAGAGGTGAGCAGTCTGTCTGGTTCCCTGTAAAGACTTCTCTGTTGACACCCACCCCTTGACGCTCATATGACCTTATGCAGTTGCGAGTGCCGTAAAACCCTCTACTACCCAAAAAATGATATATATATTGTGTTTCAAGTGCTGTAAAACTAACAAAAAATGTTGAAAAAAAATCAACAAAACTTTAAAAAGAGCTTCTACCCATGAGACAGTCTGGTCTTCTTTTGTACTCCTTATTTTTTCCCAGCACTAAATGACTACGATATTATTGTGTCGATGTGGTTATCTTCACACAAACATGATCCAGTAGATAGGGCCTACTTAAACTTAAACGAGATGGATACAGGGTACAGAGTACTGGAGAAGAAATAAATGTTCTTCTGCCCGTATACCTGTCCCCATCGTTTTATGCAAAGAAAAATTCTGAGATTATGCAAACTAAGCCAAAAAATGTGAAATTATGCGATTCTGTTAATTTTAACAAAGGGTGATAAAGGAAAATAATCAGAAATCCTGCAAAAAATGATCAAATTTTGCTAAATTATGCGGGGTGCATAAAACCACGGGGACTGGTATACGACCTTTTAGTGTAGCAAGTGCCGTAAGACATTTACTAAAACTAAAACTAAGAATGTTCTACATTCCTTTGAGGCATCTCGTGTCTCACTGAGTGGTTTGTGTGCGGTCTGGTATGATTTGCTCCTTCTGTCTATCGAACATCTGTTGTCTTTATTTATCCTCTTTCTTTTATGAGTATATGGTCGCTTTTAAGGACAAGCGGGCTAACCCAGATTTCGAGGGTTTCCAGAAATCTTGAGCTACACCGAAAGAAGGCATTGTCCTACTTAAAATTAAAACAGAAGTTTGGTTTCATTGGTGTGTATATTTGTTTGGTTGTATAGAAAACTCTCCTTGTCTTATAAAGAAACTGAACTAGGGGCAAAAACTTTACCTTCGATTTTCTCAAAACATTTTTCGGGATATCCCTCTTGTGCTTAACAGCGACCATAATATTCTCTCCGTTCTCTTGTAACACCTCTTATCCTCGGCACGGACATTACATGACCTGTTTGTGTTGCAAGTGGCGTAAAACTTTTCATGTGTCTCTTCAGGTGTTTCATAATATTACGGTGGATGGTTGGCGGGTGCTCTGGTGCTGTTTGATCCTTCTTTCCTTTCAACTTTCTAACATCCATCGTCCTTGTCTCTCCTCCCTTTCATTTAAAAGTTGCTTTCTAGTAACACCTCGCTAATCTTCGGCATTTTATTATGTTATTGTCACCCTACTTACTGTATAGCGAGTGCCTTAAAACGGGTAATAGAAACAACAACACCAACAACAAAACTAAAACATTAACTCTGGTGGTATAAAAAAGTACCATGGTACTG